AAGAATAACTTGACTAACTATAAGTAAAATACTATTAGCTAGAAAAGAGCCTGCGCCATACTACTAAATAATAAGTAAGGAGCTATAATAGGAGGTATTGCCTAATTAAGTACTATATAGGCTAATAGATATTACTATTTATAAAGAATATCTATATATGGAGGCCTAGTAAGAAGCTGGATACTAAATATAAAGGGCTATTTAAAATAGTTAAGATAATAGGCTAATAAGTATATTGCCTGTAATTATTTAGGTTATATAAAAAAATCTACCTAATCTTCTATATATTATTCCTTAGGGAATAGAATATAAGAGATAGTAACTTACTAGTACTATTCTAGCTAGTTATTATTAATAATAAGGAAGAGTAGGAGGTAGAATAAATTATTATATAATAAAAGTTATATGGCAAGGACTAATATCTAGTTAAATAGAAAGAATAACTAATATATAAGAATACTTAATAATTAGTAAAGAACTTAGAAAATATATAAAATATCTTAAATAAGTTTTACTATATAAATAAGATATAAGTAAGGTGCTGGTAAAATACTATAAATAAATAAAATATAAAAATAATAAGTTAATAAGATTAAAGAATTAAAAAGATTATAAAGATATATTAATAGTATTATTCTTTTTCTTTTTTTTACTAGGTTTTAAGGTTTAATAGGGGTATACTATAGGTGTTAAGAAATCTTAAGAAAATAATTTAATTTTATTATATAAAAATAAAAATAGCAAGTACTTATACTATAATATTAGTAAACCCTTAATTATTATAATTATCTTAAACCTTCTTATTATTATTCTCTAACTCTATTATACTATCCCTAACATGCTACATATTAAGTAGGTAAAATATATTATAGTTAATAGATTAAAATAACCTCTCTATCTAGTTCTTAGTCTTAAGATAATAGATAAAAATCTTAGTAGTATAGGCTTATTAGGTATAGGCTGCCATGCTTACTATCCTACTAGATATTACCTGAATTTTCCTAAAACTAACCTGCATAGGTAGGATAATAGGGAAGTATTTTTTATATAAGTAGGTATATTAAGTATACTACTATTCTAGATTTAGGTATATATAGGAGTAGGCTTCTATAGGATTATTATTCTTATACTACCAAGACTTAGTATACCACAGATAATATGGTATCTAAATAACAGCGGCCGGGCTAGTAGAGGCAACTAAAATAGATAGAGTAACTAGGGCTATAGTAATAATAGGAGCTAGCATGATAATAGGAGCTAGCATAATAACAGGAGCTAGTATAATAATAGTAGTAAGAGTAGCTAGAGTTACTATAGTAAAAGAAGTAGAGGGAGAGGTAGCAGGAGTTATTATAATATTAAGAGTAGCTATAGAGGATAAGGGGGATATAGTCCTGCTAAATAATATAGTAGTAATAATAGGAACTATAAGAGATATACTAGTAGTAATAGGGGTTATAGGTACTATAATTAATATAAATATAAAAAGATTTACTATAAGAGCCTATAAATAATTAGTATAATAAACCTATATTACTAGAATAAAGGTATTTATAGAGGAAGAAATAATAGTAGCTAAATAAGCTCTTTTCTACAGGGACACGGCTAGCATAGTACCTAATAAAGAATACTTAGGAGGAGCTATAAGGTCTATAATATAATTAGCTATTGCTATAATACTTAAGTAATGATAATTTACTTAAAATAATATATTAATTTATTAGGAGGGATCTTTTAGAATATAGATTAGACTAGAAGATATATATATAGAGAAGTATTCCCCTATAATATTTATATTATAATAATATCTTTACTTACTACTAGTATACCTAGTAAACTACTTACTTCTATTTATTATTCTATTTAAAGTAAAATATAATATTATTTATATCCTATTTAATAAAGTATAATTAATAAAGGCAGTATTATATATACTATTATTATTTCTAGTATTAAATAAAAAAGTGGGTTGTATTATATTAACTAGGACTAGCTTCTCCTTGGTAGGATATTAAGCTAGATTAGGTATAGTATATGTGACGCGCGGACACGCTGCTAAGGGAAGGGGAGGTAATTATTATAATAATTATATAATATATAACTATATACTAAACTATATATTAAATTACATGCCCAGTAACTAAGGGTAATTAAGAGAATAGTAATATTTAAATTACCTATACTATACTAGTAACTTAATTAGATAATATAAATAGTAATATAATAACCCCTAAAGTACTAAGAGGTAAGTACTTTATTTTGTTACTTCTAATACCTTCCTACTATCCTTGTACTCCATGTAGCTTTGCTTCCTTACCAACACTACCCATACCCAAGCGCCTCGCCAGCGAGACGCTTACATATATATTAAATATAAAAAAGTTATATATAAAAGAGTAGTTATTAACCTATAATTATATATATTTAATATAAAGACTATAAAGGCTTTCTAAGGTCTAGAGATAGTTATTAAGAAGTTACTAGATACTAGCTATTACTAGCTATATATAGATAGTATCTTAATAATATAATATAATAAAAGGGAGGCTATAATCTCCTCTTATTAAGCTTTTTAAGTACTATACTATCTAATTAAGTAATATAAAGTAAAACTCTACTAGGCCCTAGGCTATAAAGAGATTAAAGATAATAAGAGAGTAGATTAACTAGCTAATTAAAGAGTCTCTCTTAAGACTAGGAATCTAGAATAGGGCTTTTTAAAGGCTATACCTATTACTAGTAAGATTAAAATAATAAGTTATTAATTTTATTAAGAGATATAAATTAATTAATAAGTAAAAATATTTCTAAAGTTATTAAACTAGTACTAGTAATAATAGATAGATAAAATAGAAATATATAAAATAGCCCTATTCTTAAAATTATATTTCTAGTATCTAAATCTTTATTATTAGCTAGTAATTAAATTTTTATATAAGGATTTTAGCTAGTACTATAAATATTTCTAGTATAAGAATATCTAGCTTATATATTTTTATAGTAAGAATAAGAGCCTTAAGTATCTAGTCCTTTATTACTATAATAAGTAATTTTTTATTTAATAGCCTTAATAATTCTTATAGCCCTTAATAATTAAGTATAAGGTAATTAGGTATTTAAAATAATTAGAATTTAAGAATTTTATTATACTTCTAGCTATTATAGAGTTCTATAAGAATATATACCTATATTAGAATAATCTAAAGTTAAGATATCTTAAGCTAGAAATTAATTTAGAATAAAATAAAATATAGGGCCTAGAGTTTTATAACCTTTCTTAATAAATATTAAATTAATATCTATATTTCTTAACCCTCTCTTTTTTTTTTTTTTTTTCTACTATACTAAGTCCCTCTTTCTAGACTAACTAGTCTTGCCCCATACTCTTATATATAAAGAAGGGCCTGGCACCTAAAGATACCTAGGATAGCCCTAGTAATCTCTAATAGAGATTTCCCTATAGCAGCAGCCATATATTAGGATAATATAGGGATGAAGGCCTTCCCCCCTTATATAAAGGTAGAGGCCCCTACTTATACTAGAATTACCTTCTAAAATAGTAAAAATATGTACTATATCCACTTAAATAGATAGGTAGATAGATATGCCTACTAGCTTGGCACGCCCCTATACCTCTAGGAAGGTCAGGAGCCTCGGGCTCACGCCTGAGGATGCCACGTGGCGTTAAGCAATACAACAACAACAACAACAACCCATCCCCAATCGATATCAAGAGGGGGTGTCTGCCCACAGCTTCTTGATAGCTAAATCCTACATCAACAATAAGTCTGGAAGTGCGATGGAAGATCGGGGTGTCAAACTCTGTCATGACATTTAAATGCACCGTGAAATATGTGGCCTAATAACGACAGAAAGAGGGGATGAAATTGAGGACATCTTAGTAGCTTATTATTCAGTAGCCCTTGTTCGAAGGATACAGTAATCATGCCTAATCAGTATTTTTTGCAGACTAGCAACATATATTGTGCATTTCTTTTGATTCATTGTAACCCCTCTTGAGACACCCTATCTTTCTCTTTCGGGAAGGTGAATAGGCAACTGGGCACGATTGTCCACTGTCCTGAGTGCGATCTGGGGTAATTCAACCGGGTATCCACGGGCGCAATATATCCACCACTACCTTGCATATTTTGATAGCATTTATCAGGTGGGATAGAAGTGTTCCGGTGCAATACCCATGCCATCCATGCCTGAACTTAGCACTAGTATCGCCAAAACCGACCAAGAGTCCGACGCGCGATCCTACGTTTCCCCAGCCGACTTGTCCAGAAGTGTCTTGATACAAATTCATGACCAATCCAAGACTTTCGACTCGTGATCAAGATTCAAAAGCTTGGTTGAGAAATTAACGCTAGAACAGCGCCAATGTTGGCCTCTATTGGCTATGTAATGACTCTAAACTACAAAAGGAGAAGCTTATTTTTTATGAAATAGATTTTACTAACATGAATGATTTCTGTCTAGTAACTATAACACACAAATGGTCTGAGACTCTATATAGCTTGGATGAAGTACATGTTTGTTCTAGAACCTTGTCTATATTTGTACTTTAGGATTGCGAGAAAAATGGCCTTAAAATATGGTAGTATACATAGCTGGTTTGCGGCCAGAGCCCTCGCAGTTAATTTCTATTGCAACCCTTGGGCTGGGGGCAATCTCGCACTAAGATAATATCTTATGTTTAGATATCATACCTTGCAGTTCGTACCTAGACTCCCAGTAACAGCCATATATTGGTTATCTTTTTCTGCTTTCCGTTAATACTGATAGCTGGCCCAATGAAAGCACATGCGGGCCATGGTTTGAAGTTGATGAGCCTTATCCGCGTACTGGGCGTGCAAGGGTGGTTAGACTTGACAGAGGTTACATCGTTTATAAAAGCCCAAAGGATAATGGCCTCAAGCTGTAGGTATAAAAAGGGTTATATTTGCCCCCTCATGAAGACCATTCTTTCTCTCATCTTAAGCAAAGTTGACATTTCCACTTTGCCTGTGTCCTTCTTACTTTGTTCCTTTCTCTTCTCCTTCTGACAGAACAATCTAATTCACAATGACTTGGTCCAAGCCTGTTGTGGGAGCTCTCGTGCTATGCTCTGCTCTGGCAGCTGCGGCTCCGACTAACCCCGGTGCCGCCTTTACGATGGAGCAAGTGGCCATTCCCAAGAGAGCCCGTTCAGGAGCTCAGGAGTATGCTCGGGCTTTGGCCAAGTATAAGGCAACTGTGCCTGCATCAGTGGCAGCTGCCGCTGAAAGTGGAACTGCCACTAACAACCCCAGTTCTGGGGATGAAGAATATGTCGTCCAGGTGACGGTGGGTGGTAGCAAGTTGAATCTGGATTTCGACACTGGGTCTGCTGATCTGTAAGTCCAGTCTCCTTCCTCATTATGAAGTACCCTATATCATGTTATGTAACTAACTTTGGGCGAAGCTGGGTGTTCTCCACTGAAACTCCATCTTCCGAGAGTACGGGCCACAATATCTATAAGCCTAGTTCCTCGGCCGAGAAGCTTAGCGGCTACACCTGGAGCATCTCCTACGGAGATGGAAGCTCTGCCAGTGGAAATGTTTACCAGGATAGTGTCACTGTTGGAGGTGTTACTGCCACCAAGCAGGCTGTCGAGGCGGCTGAGACCGTCAGTTCCGAATTTACTGAGGACACCAGCAATGATGGGCTGCTGGGACTAGCGTTTAGCAGCATTAACACTGGTACAATACTTTTTTGACCCCCCAATATTATACCCGTCTAGCTAATAAGGAAACAAATAGTCGAACCGACGGCCCAAATTACGTTTTTCGATACTGTTAAAACCCAACTTGCCTCGCCGCTCTTTGCTGTGACTCTTAAACATGATGCTCCCGGCTACTACGACTTTGGGTTTATCGACTCCAGCCGCTATACGGGCAACCTAGTCTACACAGAGGTGGACAATAGCGACGGGTTTTGGTCTTTCACTTCTGACAGCTATAGCATAGGAGGTGAGCATGCAGGCAGTGGTCTTACTGGAATCGCCGATACAGGAACCACTTTGCTCCTGCTCGATGACAGTGTTGTCTCTGCCTACTATGCCCAGGTGTCTGGGTCTGAGGATAGCTCTAGCAATGGTGGCTATACGTTCCCTTGCACTGCTGATCTTCCAGACTTCTCCATTACTATCTCCGGCTACGAAGCTGTTGTTCCTGGGAAGTATATCAACTTTGAAGCAACTGATTCATCTAATAAGACTTGCTTTGGCGGTATCCAGTCCAATTCCGGAATCGGGTTTTCCATCTTTGGCGATGTGTTCCTTAAGAGTCAATATATTGTCTTTGATTCTAGTGTCCCCCAGCTAGGCTTTGCTGCCCAATCCTAGATAGAAACTGCTTAAAGAAAGACTCGATACGTCTTTCGAGCTGGATTACCAGGCCGTTTTCTGGTTGTTACAGTGGTTTTTGGAACTGATATATGACAAATCCTGATGTTGCCTAAATCATCACAGTCTCAAGCATTCAATCTATGAGATATTGTCCAAGTTGAATTTACTACATATATTTCTCTAGTTTCATAATGTGTACCCCCCGTTGGTCTGCTAACATCAAGTTCATTCTGCAAGAAGATGATTATGGTTATTTTACCCGTAATATGTAACTCAGACCCATATTTTAAATCAGCAGAAGACATTTGAAGATTATGGATTGTGTTTCCCTATGTCTATTGCTATCATCTTAGCCTGACAGTCGTTCGATGTGTGGTGAGCTCCCCTTGCACTCTCCGGAGGATAGGCGGACAAGTTATCATTCGTTCGCGGAGATATTTTCTCTGACTAGTTTACCATATGCAAGCACGCATCTGGTGTCCCTGCAAAAATTCCGACATCACCCTAAGATAGTTCATGGAGAGGAATCGGTGGGGTTGTAAAGGAGCAAGACATTTTACCACTTGGCCTAGTTGTGTGACTCGACTCTTATATTCCGCTTGCTAGAGATAGTAGCCGCAGAGGAACACGTTCTTCGTGCCAATGGAATTTTGCTTTCCGATTGTTCGAATCGGTCAGCCTGATGGCAGATGCCGGAAACTTCGAGTGGTTGATGACTGGAAGGGTCGTCCTATTGTAGCTCTGGCGATAACTCGCTTTTGTTCAGAAAACCCTTTGGATCGTTCCCCCAATGATTTACGCTAAGAGGGGTAGGGTAATATGGTATTTAGAGTAATGCACTACCAGAATCGTTAATATTCTTCATCCCACTATTCCACCTGTGGAATATGGTTAGGCTATTCGGAGACAAAATCCACTGGTCCGAGCGTGATAAGGGTTAAGCATGTACCTATGGGATGCTGGCGTTATTGCTGATAATATGCGACAGAGAGATCAGCAGCAAACAAAGCCAGCCATCCAGTAAAGCTATGGATGGCACGCCGCACAAGTCCCATGTTACATAGGCCTTGGAGGGGCGCGAGAATGAAAGACATCTAACCCTAGTTTGTTCTAGCTGTCTTCATCTATATATAGGAACCGCAGTCTAACCAGGAAGTAACAGAACAGGACTATCTCCAATAACTCACCCACCGGAGTTCTGATATTAGTACGACCCACCATATTTCTAACCTATGCCTATATAGTTAATAGGAGTCGCTGCGTAATTGAATCCAGACAATACCAGTACGGAGTATATTAGATTAAATCTATCCGATTAAGGCAGTACGCTATAACTGTTAATTAAAACTTTGCCTATTAATCTTGTAACTACTGGTGTGAATAGGTGTTGTTGATCTTTACATAAAGCCCCTTTACATACTAGAATCCATTTCAACACCGGAATTACAAATCAGCACTTGCTGAGTCGTGCTTCGTATCGTTTTTATTTCCTATTTTAGATAGTTGGCTACCCCCTATGATTCGTGTATTTTATGAGACATCAGACTTGTGTAGGGCTCTATACCTAGATTAACGCCAATTGCTACCGAATGGCCACATCTTATGAGAAAGATTATGGGTTCTGGGCAGCATGTTCCCAATAGTATCTGTGTTGTACCTTGTATCTCATATAAAATGTCATACTTATATCCTGAAAGTGCAACCATTGGAATTTCTCGAACTATAATTTTCTGTAAGAAGTGTATACAGTCTATATCAGTTACTAATGGCTTTTCAAAAAATTCTTCGAAAATATTTGTTGCTATAAATTCGAATATTCTAAACGAGAGTTCAAATTGGCTGACATTTGCCTCAGGTTTTAGATAAAATGTAATCCGCAAAAAGCTTGATAACAGGGGAAAGAAAGTTAGTACTATTCTCTCAGGTAGAGCCGAGCTGGAGCTTTCTCAATCTCATTTCCCGGTCCTTGTATCCGCTATTTGTTGGCAACCATATCAGTTGTGGTAGGTGACACTATAAATATTGAAAGCTTCCTTCTCCTTGGACTGGGAGACTTTCCCATGGTGATCTAGGTTCAAATACTCACCATTCTCCAGCTTCAGAGCGTACTCACTTTTGCCCATGTAGTTGATATCGAAGACCTGGGCACTGCTTTCTGAAGCAGACAAGGTCAAGTCAACTGTGAGGTACTTCTTGTCAACAGCACTTGCGACACGGAAAGTGGTACCCTCTTCTGTCAAAGCATGAAGGACCCAGCGCTGAGAGAGACTGTCGTGTTTGGAGGTAGCCTTTGCTGCCTTTACCTTCTTTCCATTGTAGGTGAGAGCATAGCCATTCCTCTCAAAGACAAGGTAACGGCCTTCGGTCAAATAGCCTCTCACACCCTTATAGCCATCCTCATAATACAATGCCTCTTCCTCAGTCTGGTTGCCATATGGGATGCCCGAGATATATTCGCTACCAGAACAGCTTCCTGTCCATTCTTTTGAGCAAAGACCCGAGTACAGACCGAGAATTTCGCCCTCGGAGTTTCTGATAGGATCGATCGGAGAAGGAAGTTCGGGAATGCTGTAATCCGGCTATCATTCAATTTTCATTAGGAAACCTTCCATATAAGATGGGTAATTTGGTACCGTGCCGAAGAGGAGAGAACCTACATTATCGAAGTCAAATGCATTGAGAAGGTCGGACATATGCTCGCGTCGCCAGTCAGACATCTGGGGGGTGGTAATATTCTTATATCCCTTAACCGTTAGGAATTGTTCTGGATGTGACGAATTTTAGATCAGTGACTGTGCCTGAGTTATAGAATAGCGAATTGAACGTACCAACGAACTGAATTATCGAGGAGTGATCGCCACGCTCAGTAAACACATGACCTCCGCGAGTGAATGGTGAAATAATCATCAGAGGAATGCGAATACCTGGCTAACATGTCAGAAGGATTCCTCTTAAATCAGGGTGTGTATAGAAGCAAACTTACCAGGGCCGGAGAAGGTGTAACCCAGCTCTCCATAGGGGTCCTCGAACCATTCTCCCTTGGTTCCGTTGGGAGAGACTAGAGGAAGCACAGCGTCACCCCAACCACCGGCCTCTGCCGCCATCATTAGCATCATTGATATTATAGTCCTGTTATCATTGCAGGCAGGTAGTAAACAGAAGGGTGGTTTTATTTACCATCGTAGTTGAGGAGCAGGACAGTCTCCTTGTAGTTCTTGCCGTGGATAATAGAATCTACAACTTGGTTGATAAAGTAGGCTCCGTCAATTGGTGTATTTGGTGAATGCTCTTGCAGAGCACCAGGGGGGAAAACCCAGCTGACTTCAGGAAGGGTTCCGTTGGCAGCAGCTGCCTTGAATGCATCCAAGCCATTGTCACCGTCAAAGGCGAGACCTCTTTGGTACAAGCTGGAATTGGTGGCGGCTTCCTGGAAAGCTTGGAAGTAGAATAGACCATTGTTAGTCGCCCAGTTGTACGAGTTTTGGTACGAGCGCCAGTCAACACCAGCTTCGTCCAGATATTGCGCGAATGCCGGCCATTTAAGCGGCAGGCAGTTGAGGTTATCACCCTCGCAATCTATTTTGATCGACTGGTGTTAGATTATATTCACGAATGATGCTATGGGTGTTCAAATAACGTACGGTTGCCTTGGTTATCATCGAGGACAACACCACCTGCTCCAAGAGCCTGGTAACCTCCCGGGACGTTGATGGATCCAGACTGTATGCAAGTTAGACACTGCGCAAGTAGCGCTACAAAAGAGGAGAAATGCTAGGTTTTGTACAGACCTGCCAAAACCATCTGTTTGGATCAGTGTTGGAGGTAATGCTAGCCTATTAAATTGTACTCTGTTAGAGGAGTTTGCCAGAAATATTAGAGATAGACGCAAGGTAGAGGAGAAACTCATACATGGTACGCATCACCAACAGTATATGCCTCGGCAAGAGCAAAATGATATGGGATATCCTGACGTTTGAAGTAGCCCCAGGACTGAGGGGTAGCAACCTGGGCCCACATATTGTTCAGACCACCATTCATGGCCTGGTGGGTAGGAATCCAGTTGTTGGCACCCGCACATAGACACTGACTTTTGTTGTAGTTTTCCTCTCCGCCGAGGTAGTTCAGCCAGTAAGGGAGAAGGTAGTCCGCAGCATCAGTAAGGCCAGTGGCATTCCTAAATTTCTTGTCAACCCTCTAATGCGAACACAAGATGCATAGTTATTATAAAGGCACACTTACTGGTACCAGACAGATTTACCATCAGGGTTAATCTGCACGTTAGGATCCGCAAAACCACGAACACCAGACATGGTGCCAAAATACTATATTGTGTCAGCATAAGGAAATCTACTGGATTTGCAGAGGAACTCACATGCTGGAAAGATCGGTTTTCCATCATTAGCATGACAACATGCTTGACATCCTTAAGCGAGGCTGCATTGCTAGCACTAGCAAGTGCCAGCAGTGCAATGTATTTCTGCATCATCACCAAATATGTGCCAAAATAAAACGCACTTGTGCTGATCTACTGCGCAACCCAGTCTGTTAGCTCCTGCAATATTGACATCTGCGTCGTATTTATATATCATACATCCGTATGAAAGCGAGAGAATAAACTCCCGACACATTCTACCGTCATTCTATCTACTCCAACATGCAGATGCAGGTACTCCATCCTTAGTCCTAACTCTAGCTGGAATGCAGTCCACGTGTAGCTGTTATTCAGATATAGTTGGTGTGGGATAACTTCAGTTATGCTGCTGAAGATTATATTCAAGTCCGGTAAATGAAATTAAGCTAGCATACGCGTGTTAGTTGCTGCTATTCAGTTGGCCTGGGCATAACTAGTGCTTACAGTGTTGGCTTTTAGTTGGCATGAAGATGGATCTGCAGGATCAGAAGGATGAGGAGGGCCAGACTGAGGATAATTAAACTTCGGCACGTTGAGTTTACTTTCATCTAGTTGGCCTGAAGGGCAGTCATGTTATGCATGCGAAGGTAGAGCGAAGACAGAGTGAACTCTGTTTACAATTTGCAATATTCCGACAGGAATACAGGGTATATACATGTTGAGATATCATCGACAGCCGGCCAGCAGCCGCTCTTCAAGCCATTGACACTTTGTGGATTTGCTTGTTTTTCGTAGAGCAACATTTTCTTCTTTAAATCAAGGAAACTGGGATCAGCAGGGTCCTAGCGAACGAATTGCAAAGAAGGTTTATTAACCCATTAGGAACTAGTCAGGGAAGGATGGAAACATTCCACTGCCACATCCTGTGCCGTTAGCCGGGATTTGGAGTAAAGTAAACATCGATATTCGGTAACTCCGTGGACCTCCGTCCAACTGCCCCCAAGGTGCCGATACTCCAACGGACCCCTTGGGATATTATTTTATCCCAAAGTTCTAAGCATATTAGCCAATGCTTGACTTCCCCTTGGAAGCCGCTCTTGCCCTGCTCTCCTGCATTCATAAGAATCATGGAACATTGATCAGGCCATTGATTGCTAGTCGTGGTCAGATTAATGATATAACTAAGGATGATTATCCTCAATTATATGCTTAGCATTGTTCTTGGTTACTCGTGGTTAATTTCAGTTATGAGTTTCTCTACATTTCTATATTCCTATTCTAAGTTGTTAAGCACTATAGATTATACCTACAGTATATTTACCTATTATATTTAGCTCTACCTTCATTTAATTGAAGGTGTTACCAGGTAGGACAGAACCTTTAATAGATTGGTGAGTATCCATCCCACAACATTGTCGAGCTGATGGGACTTGAGGGTTAGACGCCGGCCATTTAGAGTAGTTATCAAAACACTATCTTTATAACACATACTCCCTAGGTTGTGTTATATTGTATTATATTATGAAGTGATTACCATACCATCTTTAGTAATGTCATATCTTACTTCAACCTTCTTCTTATCTCTCCATGTATCATGTATCATGACAAGGGTACATTTATATAGGTAGCACTGGGCTGGCAGGTACAATGCTGGCAAATGGCAACTCACTACTAACTAGCTCAGCCATAAAAAAACCTAGCAGAGATATGGAAAATTCCTCTATTGTTTTTTATCTTATCAGTTGCGCGGCTTTGGTGCTCCTGAGTCATTTGAGAAGTTAATTCTCTATGCCTTTGAGCGCCTTACTAGAGAACATCTCCATTCTCCATTTATCCGAGGTTTCCTAAAATTAGAACAGTAAGTAAAAACATATTCTGAAATCAAGCTGATTTGGAATAGCTAGGTACACAACTAAATGTGAGCAGAGCCTAGCACAGGGATACGATATATAGCTACGAGTTACTGCTGGTAGATTTGTGTGTGGGTACTATCTTTCCTGAGCTTCAGACTTCAAGAAAATTTCCAAGACAATAATAGTTCATCACCACACGTTTGCCTACTAAAATACCACAGTAGGTTAGTGTAGATGGAGTTAAAGTGTCCATCACATAGTGGCTGGCCTGTAATGCATAGTGAACCAATTGGCAACAAGCTAAATAATCTTCGAAAATATATATTCTCAGCTATTATACTACAAAACCTGACAAATTGTTCCATCCCTCTTGTCAATCACCATACCTTATTCGTTATCCCTAACGTCAATAACGGTGGACTTGAACTTCCTGGCAGGAACCTTGCGATTGAACAAAATGTCGCTTTCGCGGTACGAGCGGTCTTTAAGCTCCGGAAGAAAGAAGTAGGCCATCACCCAGCAGACACAAGCAGTGCCTCCCCAAACGTAGCCACACTTGCCTGCGAGGTTCCATCCTGTTGTGTTAAGCATCTTTGAAGCTAGATAGATCATGGGAATCTCCGCGATATAGTAGGCGGCTCGACCAACTGCGGTACTCAGGGAGCGCAGACGGACCGAGGACGTCTCGGAAATGACGGTGTATGAGATTGGACCCATAGCTCCGGCAAAAACAAACGAGATGATAACGCCTAGACATGCCTGAGCGTAGTTAGTCTGGTGGTTCTGGGGGACAGAGGCAATGATGCCTAGAATAAAGAGAAGAGTGATGTTGGTAGCTGTGCCCCAGAGATATATGGTTCGACGACCGAACCAGGCACTCAGAAACCAAGAGCCTGCGTTGGCGACAAACTGAAGACATGAGTTGATTAGATTGAGTTGGAAAGCGCGGCTGTGCGGGATCCCAGCTTCTAAGCGGGGGGTCAGCCATCCGTGCTCGAAAGTTATCAAAGAGAGCTACTCACGCTCGAAGAAGTAGGTTGCCTGGTTGGCAATCAAGTTACCCGCAAAATTTTGTGATGCGTACATCAAGCAGGTGATAATTGTTCGCCTTAAATCGGTACCCTTAACAAGATCGAAGAGGGTAGGGGCACTGCCCATTTGAGCTTCAATCTCAACAGTTCGCTCAATCATAGCAAGTGACTGCTGAGCATTCTGTGATTTACTACCCAGTCGCTTGATAGAGTGAAGGGCCTCCTCCTTGCGTCCATGACGAATAAGCCACCAGGGAGATTCGGGTGCAAGGAAAACGAGAATTAGGAGAGGGGTCTAGGCGAGTCAGCTCCCGTAGGTACGAGATCTAAAAGGGTGGACTTACGGGGAAGATCCACTGCAAGGCAAGTGGTGCTCGCCAAGCCCACTGATCCATTCGATTATTGTAGCCCAGGGAAGCGGCGGCGACAATGATTGAACCGATGGACCAGCTCATTTGTAGCGTAGCCGTACAGGCACCACGAAGAGCGAGAGGAACAACCTCACTGGCATAGGCGGGGGAGTTCGCAATGAAAAGTCCCCAGGGGACACCTTCAAACGCTTGTCCGATCACAAGGACGGCGAGGGAGTCAGCCTAAGTAGATTGAGTTAGGTGTCAAGCTCAACAACGCAGCCGATTTACTTACAAAGAAGGAAATGAAAATGGTGGCGTTCATAAGAATCAGGGCCAAGATGGTAGTCCAGCGATAGCCAATACGGTTGGTGATGGGCCCGGCCAAAAAGACACCGACGAAAGCACCGCATTGACCAGCTTGGAAGAGGGCACTCTGCCATCTGGTTGGGATGGTATATTCATTTGGACCAGTAGGAACACCGTATTTCTTTTGGAATGCAGAAAGCGCGACAAAGTTGCTGTTGAGAAACATGTCAAATGACTCCATGACCTTTTTGACATCAGTTGTTACTCGGCGCAAGAAGGGTGAATTTCGGTGACGCAGGTCTGTGAGAGTAGAGGTGGACTAGCTGCAGGTAAATAGACTTACAATAGTAAAGCACATAGTGAACGCCCAGAAGCAAGCCCAGGGATGGGTCTTGACACTTTCCCATACTCCCATTTCATGCTCGCGGTTCTCGCCATCAAAGGCATCATTCATGAGATCTGTGTTTTTCAAGATCTCGGCATGATCAACGTCAACATGGTGCGACTCATCCTTTGGCTCAATGCTACCTGACGACATCTTGGGATTTCTTGCTATGTTACAAAATGTAGACGGGATGGAAACTGGAGCAAAAAGGGGAAAAGAGAGCGGGCTGGGATTATATATTTCACCCCATATATATTTGTTTGTGAATTTTAGCCCCGGACGCTCAGTCCCCAATGTAATGGGGAAACCTGGGGTGGCAACCATGGCGTCCATGATACCTACTCCTCATTCCAGTAATCCCACCAGTCATAGGAGGGGGTTTAGTTCAAAGTGACTAAAAGCGTCTATAATGTAAGCACGCTTTATCCGTTCGGGAAATTCTCCGTGGAGGCTTCTTATTCTTACCTGATCTGTGCAGTGGCAGGGCCAGACACCGATTCTCTGATTCTTGTGAGAGGGGAAAAGAATCCATCTGTTGGAGTAATTAGAACCCACACAAAATAAAGTCAACAAGACTCTACAGCAATTATTCTCACTTTTTTACAATGTCAGAGCCTGATTGATATGGGCCTACTCGAAGTTGTAGGTAGTGGTCAAGAATTTCCCCGCGCCTCGGGCCGCGTCGACCGATGTGATTTTCTGGGGCAACGGGAAAGCTTATCTTGTGGTCCAGGGGCCTCGGGGAACACGGGATAGCGGTCTTGGATAATTGCTTATAGGGGCTAATATTGTATTTATTGCTTGATTTTATGACACAGAGGAATACTAGAAATCTTTTCTTGTATAGATAGCATATTCTAGTTTAGTTTAGTGTATCAGAGTAGTCTATCCTGTGACAAGTATCAGTAGTTAGTTAACTAATGCATTCCACCAGTGATCTGGACACCCCTACCTATTTTGACCATGTTCAGAAAGCTTGAAGCTATCCCTAACCACCAAAACACGTGTAATTTCAGCAAATCTAATTATTTGGACATGTAGGACATCTAGTTCTACCAGGCCCTGCTATTCATCTACTCTATGGAGTACTCGTGTCAGGGTGCAGGGTCGGACTCATGTATTCATTGACTAGGAGCTAACCAGACAGAACAGGCAGAATAGCAGGTACTAGGTAATAGATAAGATATAGCTTAAAAAACTATAATAAGATTAGGAATAATATTATTTAAATATAAGAATAAAAATAAATAATTAGAATAAAATTTTAATAAATAAATATTATAATTTTATATAATAATAATATTCTTTTTCTTAAAATTAAGTTTTATTAAAATCTAGAAAGAAAGTAGCTAGAGCTTCTTAAAATAATAAAAATAGTAATTATTTATTAATTAATAAGTATTTTTTAGATATTTAATAAGTTTTTTAATTAAATTATTATATTTAATTTATTTAATAATATATTATAACTTAAATTTATTATAGTTTTAAAATTTATTAAAAATTAAGAATTTTTTTAATTTTTTAATTTTAATAAATAATAATAAATTTAGATATTAATTAAATAAAGAATTTGTCACAGCGTAGCTATGGACATCCAGATACTAGAGACAGTAGATTAAGAATCACATGCTAGCGCAGATACTAGTATGTAACCTATAGTAGAGACTTATTTAAAGTTCTTAATCCTAATTATTATATAGTTTTTGAAGTTATATTCTTATTTTAATCTAATCCTAATATATTAGACCTATATATAAATAGCATAAATATATACTCTATTATTAGCTATACTTATTACTAGCCTGCCTACTATAATATTATATAGCTCCTATCCTAGGTATAACTATTACTAGTATATTAGAATAACCTAAACTACCCCTTATTATAGACTTAGTTAAGAAGTTCATAAGCTATATTACTAATAATCTTATTATCTAGATTATCTGTCTTAGGTCCTATAATAATTATACTAATTCTCTAGAGAAGGAGATTTATACTGTAATAGTGTGAAGCTATTATACTTATTTACTAGGATTCTACCTAGACTGTCCACCTTTATTCCTATATTTAAGCTATATTATTCCTAATCCTATTATAGCTCTTCAAGCTATGTCCTATTTATTATTTAATACCTGCTATTTTACTATTCTATCTAATTAGCTTCTAGTTAATAAATATCTAAATCTAACTTTATACTCTAATATTATATAGCTTTATTTTATTAAGAATTAATTATTACTATTATACCTACCTTACTATCTATATTATTTAAAAATATAAAGGCTCTTTTATATAATACTCCTAATAAATTAAGATAATATATTACTAAGATATATTAATTTTCTATTACTACTATAGAAGAATTTTATAAATTATTTATCTTATACTTTATTATTATTAACCTATATATTATTAATACTAGCCTCCTTAATTATATTTAATAAAAAAATATTATAATTAAGTACTAAAAAATATAAGTTAAAAAAGCTTAATAAAAATTATTTAAAATACTTATTTAAAATAATATATTTTTTAATTTATTATTTTTTTTTTAAAAAAAATATTAATATTATTATTCTTTTTATTATTATTATTATTCTTACTATATTTATTTTTATTACTTAAATCTTTAAATAATTTCCTAATCTTAATAAGTTTAATAATTAATAAAATAACCTAAGATACTTTATTTCTTAAATTTATTAAAAAATAATTATAAACTTTAATTATTTTCTAATCCTAAATAATTAAATAACTTATATAACTAGTTACCTTAAAAAAACTTCTTATACTTAAATCTTATTATATATTTAAAATAGAATCTATATGTCATGGCAGGCAGGCTGGCAGTAGGTGTAGCTAATAGTAGGGTATATATTCAGGCTATCTATGTATAGGTCTAATAAGTAAAGATTAGGTTAGGATAAGAATATAGCTTAAAAAGCTATAATAAAATTATAAGTAATATAATTTAAATATAGGAATAAAAATAGATAATTAAAGTAGAATCTTAATTAAATAAGTATATAATTATATTATAATAATATTTTCTTTCTTAAATTAAACTTTAATAAAGTATTTCTAAGATCTAGATTTTCTAGAATAATAATAATAAAAAATAATAATATATTTAATAATATTCTCTAAATAGCTAGTAAAAATTTTAATAATAATAAAATATTTAATTTATTTAATAATATACTTTAAATATAAGTAATTACTTTAATTATAATAATTTTAGTAAAAGTTAATTATTTCTTTAATCTTTTCTTTCTTAATATTATTAATTTTAATATATAAGGATTTAATTTTCTCTTATCTAAATAATAAATCTTTAGTAATTAAATATAATAATTTAATATAAAATACTACATATATTTTTATATTCTTAAGTAGGTCTAATTTATAAGTATAAGGGCTAATAATCTTCCTAATAAGAAAAAGGCCTAGATTTTTCTAGTTTAATTTTTTTTAGAGATATAGGATTATAATATTCTTAATATTTAATTAGATTAATTAGCCCTTAATATAATATCTAATAAAGTAATATTTCTAGTTAGTATAGTATTTATAGTAAGTTTAAATAATAACTATAATAATATAATAATATTCTTATATTTATTTTATAATTAGAGTAAATTAGTAAGTATTATAGGTTTATAAATAATAATTAAGTAGAATAAGCTTAAACTTTATATAAAGGTTAAAATTATATAGAGTAAAGAATAAGAAATATCTAGTAATTTTAAAAATTAATATTATTAATAATAAATTTTATTATAAATAACTATTTAGCCTAATTATTTTATAAATAATTAATATAGATCTATAAATATTATTCTAAAATAATATTTATATATTTAATTTACTTATTAATTTTAGAATAATAGATAATAAATAAAAATAATCTTATTTTTAGAATATAGTTTAAGTATATCTAGAATACTAATATAAATTAGAATCCTTAATTAAATATAATAGACTTAAGAAATCTATAAAATTTCTAAATATAATCTTAAAATAAGTAAGTAGCTCTCTTAATATTATAAATATTATTATAAGAAATATAATATTAAAACTTTATTAATTAATTAATTACTACTATAATAGTATTAAAGCCTAGGCTTTAAGATAGATATATAATAAAATTAATAAAAATATCTTTTTAAGAATCTTTAAGTATAAATAAGAAATAAAAAATATTTTAATACTTATTTTAATAAAATATAAATTATTTATAAATATAGTAATTATAAATTTATTATTTTATAAATATAGTAATTATAAATTTATTATTTTATAAATTATAATATTTTAGATTAGTAATATAATCTTAATAATAATTTATAAATTTTTAATCTATTTTAATAATTAATAATTATATTTTTATAATATTTATATATTAATTTTATTTTTAATTTTTTTATATTAGGAATATATAATTAATTATAATAAAATAGAAATCTAATATAATAAGTATATTTAAATAATATAATTAATAAATAATAATTATAACTCTTTTCTAGATTTTTTAAAATATTATTAGAAACTAGATCTTATTTATAATCTCTATCTAAATACTTTCTTAATTATTTAGAAAGCTAGATAACTTTTTTTTCTTTAGATTTAAATAGCTAGAAGTATACTAATTTCCTTCTAGTAATAGATTAGAGCTAGATTAATTATAGTATTTACTAGTTTTATGATAAGAGGTTGTCAAACTATGATGGTAGAAAGTTGACCGAAATGGATTCAATTGGGTCTAACTAGGAGATAGAGAGAAGGAGAGATGCTTGGAGGAAGTATGGAGATCTAGAAGGAAATAGTGGCCTAAATACACTAAGTAGTTATATGTTGCTATTTACTTAATAATAGTACTGGTTATATTTACTAAGTATAGTACTCTAATACACCCCCCTTAATAATATATCTATTATATAAAGCTATTTAGAGTCTATCTCTAACCTATTAAAACCTAATCTCTTAATAAATTTATTAAATTTTATAATTAGTAGTATCTTAGTAAGCCTATCTATAATATTATTCTATCTATTAATTATTTATAATTAAATTCTACTATTTTTAATTATCTTTTTTATAAAAAAGTAGTAAATATCTATCTAGTAGAGTATAAATATATAATTTAGCTTCTTTATTAAAATAATAGTATTAGTAAAATTAGTAT